TCCTTCTCTAGGAGAGCTTCCCAATCCAGGGATCGAACCCTGGCCTCCTACATTGCAGGTGGATTGTTTACTGTCTGAGCCACTAGTCATCGTAGTGTGGGTGAAACAGTATCTCATTTTTGTTTTGATTTGCATTTTCCTAATGCAAATAACACCTAATGGTGTTGAACATTTTTTAGCGTGCTGATTGGTCATTTGCACATTTGTTTTCTTTTTTTTTTTTTTTCCATTTATTTTTATTAGTTGGAGGCTAATTACTTTACATCATTGCAGTGGTTTTTGTCATACATTGAAATGAATTAGCCATGGATTTTGCACATTTGTTTTCTTTGAAGACATGTCTATTCAAATATTTTGGCCATTTGAAAATTTGAGTTATTTATCCTTTTCTAGAATTGTAACCATTATCCATATATCATGAATACAAATTCCTTATCAGATATATGATTTGAAATTGGGTTGTTTTTTCACTTTCTTAATGGTGTCCCTTGAAGTACACAGGTGTCATTATCAGATTGAAGAAGTTCTCTTCTATTCCTGGTTTGAATGTTTGTTGTTGTCTTTTAAACCATGAATTGTTACTGGGTTTTATCAAATGCTTTTTTGGATTTATTGAGATGATCATGTGGCTTTTGTTTTTATTCTGCTAATATAATGAATTATTTTGATTGGTTTACATATGGTGGACCACGCTTGTATTCCTAGAATAAATTTGGTTATTTGTATTGTATAATCCTTCTTATATGTTTTTGGATTCCATTTGCTAGTAATTGTTGTGTCTATCTTCATAAACAATATTTGCCTCAGGTTCTTTTCTCTCCTAATATCTTTATCTGATTTTGGCATCAGGGTAATACTGGTCTTAAAAGGATAGTCAAGATGTGTTCAATAGCTTTTGAGCATTTATTTTGTATAAGTGAATCTACACATTTTTCCTGATCCATATGACATTCCTGAGAAGAAGATACGCTTATCAAGATTTTTGATGATGTTGTGCATACAGCACAAGTCATTTACTCAAGGTCACAAACAGTAATTTTCAGAACCGGGATTTGAATCTAAGGCTTGGCATAATCTGAAGCCTACAATCTTCCTGAAAGTTTTAGTCGCTCAGTCATGTTCAACTCTTTGAGACCCCATGGACTGTAGCCTACCAGGCTCCTCTGTCCATGGGATTTTCTAGGCAAGAGTACTGAAATGGGTTGCCATTTCCTACTCCAGGGGATCTTCCCGACATGGGGATCGAACCCTGTGTCCCTGTGTCTCCTGCATTGGCAGGCAGGTTATTTACCATCTGAGCCACAAGGGACACTCACAATCTTCCTAACAAGCCATTTTATTGCACATGTTTCTCTGTTACCCAGTTCTTTGCTTCCCTCATCTCTGTAACTGGTGCATCCGTACCCTGCTTTCTTGTCCTAAGAATGCCTCCTGCAAATTCTGCTTCATCAAGTCCTACTCATTCTACTCACCTTCCTCTATCTTCTTCCACTCATGCCAGGCTCAGCTAAAACTTTGGTGTCTTTTTTTCATTTGCTCTATTTTCAGCTATTTTTACATTTTAATCACCATCCTGTTTATTGTTAGAATAAACCAGCCTATCCTTTAGAGTACTGTCCTTGCTTCTCAAGTCACCCTAGTTCACATCCTCATTTTAGGGTGATCCTAAATTACACCTATACCTGAATTTCAACTTGATTGTTAACAAAAATATCTGACATTCATTCTCTTGATTATCCTCTTGGCTTTGTTCCACTGACTTCTGGTGCTAAATTTTATTGAGTAGAAACTTGACACTAGCCTATTTCTCTCCTTTAAGCAACTGAAGGTTTTCTCTGATGCTGGAGTCTTCTTCTAGCTTACAGATCAATAACTGAGACATATTTAATTTTATGGATAAATTTTTCTTTAAACATGACTCCTGATCTTGGCTCATGAGTTCTGTATGTTATTCTCCTTGACCACTACTCTCTTCATGGCAGTTCCCTCTAAGTTTATCCTTCAAGATAAGCACCTGCTGCTCCTGCTGCTGCTAAGTCGCTTCAGTTGTGTCCGACTCTGTGTGACCCCATAGACGGCAGCCCACCAGGCTCCGCCATCCCTGGGATTCTCCAGGCAAAAACACTGGAGTGGGTTGCCATTTCCTTCTCCAATGCGTGAAAGTGAAAAGTGAAAGTGAAGTCGCTCAGTCATGTCCAACTCTTAGCGACCCCATGGGCTGCAGCCTACCAGGCTCCTCCGTCCATGGGATTTTCCAGGCAAGAGTACTGGAGTGGGTTGCCATTGCCTTCTCTGAGATAAGCACCTAGTCTTCCTAAAATGATTTTTTTCCCTATGTCTGGGGTCTTCTTTAATAGAAGTTATTAGCTCCTAAGCCTCACTCACACTTCTGCTTACCAGTCCTCATTCTCTGACATGCTTTTACCTAATCTCAACAGTATTGAGAACTGCTTATGTGTATTTTGGTGTTCACGGGCTTTTCCTTTCTCTGAACTTCACCAAAACTTGAGTTTTGTTTTGGTCTCCATTTGTGGCTTTTAATTGATTCTAAGAGATGAAAGGGGTAGGATTCATACCTAAGCTGTTGTGCTGATCATACTAATGAATCCTCCCCTCCCCCCAACCCCTGCCCAGGCCCACCCCCATCTGCTGGGAGAGTCAGGGATCAAACGATGGAAGACTGTAAAGGAATAAAGTATAACTCTAAAAAAAAAAAAAAAAAAGTATAACTCTAAACGCTGCAAAGGGAGACTGAAAGTTGTGAAAGGAAAATCATTATTCAATTTTACTAACAGAGATCTGGAAAATGGAATGGGGAGACCACGGAGAAAGTATGACTTATACACTTATAAGTCAGAAAGTATGACTTATGATAGAATCTTAACTTCCAGAAACTCAAGATACTTAGAAAACCCTGACCCTAAAATAACTCGAGAGCCTGTCTACTTATCAAACTCTTCCCCTAAAATAACTCAGTGACAGCCTAGTCCTTAAGAACAAATATTTCCTTTTCTAAAGTCAAAGTCAATCATAATTCCTTCCAGACAATGTTATTTACTTTGTGGGGTTTACCTTCGGAAGTCTTCAACTCTTTCTCTTCTGGAACACTCTTTTGGTTTTACCCAAATCTGTCTCCCAAATTGCAGTTCCTAAAACCTCCAAATAAACTTTTTTTTTTTTTTGCAGCCTTCTGTGCTTTCTTGGAAGACAAGCTGCACCCATGAAAACAAGATCCCTAAGGCATGGAAGGGTGTGGGATCCACAGCTATACAAGAAACAGAGCTATGATTTATAAAAGACAAGTCTGAAACTATGTGTCAGACACATTGGTTTGCTTTTTGCTTCTCCAAAAGTCAAAACTGATAGTACCAGAACATGCACCCTAAACGGTCACTGTTGGCCAGATGTAGAAAGTGAGGTAACTCCAATTTCACCTGTGGCTTTACTCACTGGGGCCATTATCAAAGTCAACACTACCATGCACAACAAACTGCTGGACGCGCCTAATAGCGCGCCTGATAATCCGTCCCCATCCGCCCCATTCCGGGGTCGCTCTGCTTCACTTTCCTGCTGAGGGTTCATATCTGAGACTCCTAGGTTCCCGCTCCCAGACTAGCGCAGATCACACACCACGTTAATCCACGGAGGAAGGCAAAAATGGTGCTTTAGTCAATCTGGAATATTCTCAGAGTAAGCTACAACTAGAAGAGTCTTGGGGGCCACTCTGTCCTCCACTGCAAGCTCTGTGCAAAAAGACAACCAAGACAATCTTCTACTTACGCGGGCGCCTCGCCCATTCTGGTTCTAGACTACATTTCCCAGAAGTTCTTGCTGCTCTAATCTATTTTCGGCGCGAATCTAGCGACATTTTTCTATTTCTCAGGGGACATATGGCTCCATGGGATTGGCCTGGCCTTTGGAGGAAGCTTGTCTCTGGGATGTGGGGACTGTATCTGTATCTCAAGATCCTTGGCAGCAATCCCGAGAGGCGAGAAGAGGTGTAACTTGGCCCCAGGCAGTGCAGGAAATCCGAGAGCGAGGAGCCATCTTGTCCTAGCGGATCTGGCTCCGGACTACATTTCCCAGAGACCCTGGCGCGTATAGGGCCGACCCATCACTTGCCTGCGGGACCCTCGGCCTCCGGGGAAGGGGAAGTGCAAGGTGAGCAACCTAGGTCCTGGGGGCTCGACTAGGTTCCGGATGTGCATCTCTGAGGGTCTGAAGGGACAGTCCAGGCGGGTCCGAAGTCCTGGGCCTGTATGATTTGATAGGACTGGGGGAGGGGGAAGTGTGGGATTCCATGTGTGTGATTGTGACCTTATGTGACCGTGCGGCGTTGTGTGCGCGGGTTATTATATGTCCCTGTAGTGGGTGTGTCATTGTGACTGACCATGCGCGCGAAACTGTGTGCAGGTGTGACTGTGGATATCCTCGCTGTGCTGTGTGACTGTGACAGTGTGCGGCTCCGACCCCGTAGTGGGACAAGTGATTGTGGGTACCCATATAACTTTGTGCTGTGTGTGTTGGGGTGGGGAGTGTAGAGAAAGTGTGATTGCGCTGCTCTGACTGTGTTATCTGAGGGCTGCCTCTGATGGTGGTTTTATGAACGTTAGCAGTACTAAGTGTACTGGATGTCTATGACTGTGTAAGGATGTGTGAGTGTGATCACTTAAGTTTTTGTGGCACCGTGTGTGCGGTTGGAAAGTGCCTGTAACTGTGCCAAGCTGATAGTGTGTGTGTCCCAGTGGTTGATGTGTGAGATCAGGACAGATTTTGGTCTTGAGCAGCAGACTTTTCCCCTTCTGCGAGCAGGAATGCTCAGAACAGCCTCCACTCCTCTGACCTCTCTCCTTCCCTCCTTCCCATGGGTAGTAGGTGTGGGTCCAGAGTGACCTCTTATCTAATCAGTCTGAGCCACAGAAAGACCTGGCATTTCATGATTCCTTTCTCCTTCCTCCAGCTCTGTCTTTCTCAGAGAGGTCCCCTGAGGAGAAGGAAGAATGGCTGTTGACCAAGCCCAATACAAGGTGCGCTGGGGTTTCATTTTTGTTTTATAAGTACCCTGGTGCACATGTGCATGCTTTCATAAGCATACCAATAGAGTTGCTAGGCCAGAAGATATGTCTGTATTTTCAAATTTCCTAGATAATGCTGGACTGATATGGTTGTATCTGTTAAATTCTTACTAGCAGTTTATAAGCATAGTCATCCTGTATTCTAATACTTGGTCATGTGGTTTTAAAAGTATAACATACATTATGGTGTGTTACACAGTAGTTTCACTGCCCTAAATATCCTCTGTGCTTTACCTATTCATCCCTCTTTGCTTCCTTCCTCCTAACCCCTGGCTACCATTGATCTTTTTACAGTCTCCATAGTTTTGCCTTTTCCAGAGTGTCATATAGTTGGCAAATAGAGCTTTTCATATTGACTTCTTTCACTTAGTATATGTCTTTTCATGATTCCATAGGCCATTTTCTTTTCTTTTCTTTTCTTGGCTGAATAAAATGGCATTGTCTAGATGTACCACAGTTTATTTAACCATTCACCTACTGAGGGACATCTTGTTTTTCTCAAGTTTTTTCAATTATGAATAAAGCTGCCATAAACATCTGTGCACAAGTTTTTGTGTGACATAATTTTTTAACTCTTTGGGATAAATATCAAGGTGCTTGCTGGATCATATGGTAAGAGTATGATTTTGTAAGAAGCTACCAAACTGTCTTCCAAAGTGGCCATTCCATTTTGCATTCCCACCAGCAATGTATGAGAGTTCCTGTTGTTTCACACCCTGGCCAGAATTTGGTTAGTGTCCTGGATTTTGGCCATTCTCATAGGTGTGTAGTGGAGGAGTCTTTTATTTAGACATTAAAATATATTTGTAAATTATAATAAATAGAGAATGTGATACTGGCAAAATAATAAACAGATCACTGAATCAAAGTAGAATCACAAATCCAAATGTATCATCTCTGATAAGGGTAGCATTTATTTTTAAATATTTATTTATTTGGCTGTGCAGGGTCTTAGTTGTTGTACTCAGGATCTCTGATCTTCATTACAATGTGCAGGATCTTTTAGTTGTGGCAAGTGGGATCCAGTTCCCTGACCAGAGGTCACACCCTGGCCTCTTGCATTGGGAGCTCAAAGTTAGGCACTGGACTGCCAGGAAAATTCCAAGGGTAACATTTAAATCAGTATGGAAAATATATTCCATAGTCATCTATGGATGACTCTAAGGTATAAGGATGACTCTAAGGCTCATTTTTTTCCCCCGAATTTCAACATGTATGAAATAAGGTTATGTCTTAAATAGTTCCTCATTTCTTAGTAGAAATAAAATAATGGTGCATATTAAGTCGCATAGAATACTATGTTATTCATATGTGATTTTGGTACATTTGGGTAAGCCCTCTCTGGGGGAAAATGAAGTAGGATTCTTAACTCATATCTTTTACTAAAGTAAAATTATAATTGATAACCTCATGCCATTGTCTTTTACCAAATAATACCAAAATAAAAATAATAATTGATTAAAGGCTTAAATGTAATGAAAGCATTACAATTGTAGAAAAAAGAAAAGAATTTTAATGTAAATATCTATGGGTAAGAAAGCTCTTACTCCAGAACTAGAAGAGTTGAAATTTTAACTTTTGTGTGGCTAAAACACATAAGCAGAGGTTTTTGTTTTTGTTTTAATATTTATTTGGCTGCACTGGGTCTTAGTTGCAGCACTTGGAATCTTTGATCTTTAGTTGCGGCATGTGGGATCAAATGCCCCTGCACTGGGAGCTCTGAGTCTTAGCCCCTGGACCACCAGGGAAGTCCCTGGTGGTTGTTTTTTAGAAAAAAACAAAGCTAGTGCATAAAGAAAGGAGTGCCTCAGTGTGAATATGAGCATAGTTGCATGTTGGGGGAGGTTGACCTTCTCAGGCTTGGAAAATGAGAATTGCTTAAGGAAGTCTTTAGCCCTAATTGGGCTTCCCTAGTGATTGAGATGGTAAAGAATCCACCTGCAATGCAGGAGACCCAAGTTCGATCCCTGGGTTGGGAAGATCCCCTGAAGAAGGAAATGGCACCCCCTTCCAGTATTCTTGCCAGAAAAAAATCTCATGGACAGAGGAAACTGGTGGGCTATAGTCCATGCGAGTCACAAAGAGTCGGAGCAACTGGGCAACTAACACTTTCACTTCACACTTAGTCCTAATTAGAATAAACTGTGTTCCTGGCCACAGCCTGGCCACAGGCACCATTTAGGTAAAGCTGGCTTGGGGACCTGAGGGCTACAGAGGAGGGGTCCACTCAGAGCAGGTCATAGCAGCTCTGTCTTGGGTTCAGAGCAACAGCAGCACTGAGATGGGGCAAGGTCTTGCCTGGATCACTTGGCTGAGGCAGGAACCTGGGTTGCTTATATGAAGGAGAGGACTTATGAGTCTTTATTCCTTTGAATCAACTAGCTGGGATCCATCTTGCTGCAGCAAAAGCCTGGGATTTCTGGAGTTGAGGAATGAAGGGGATTTATTACAGACTCCCACTCACTAACTAGAGTTATATCCCATGACCAAGGGAAATGGAAGTAATTTTGCCTGGAGAGTCCAAAAGCTGTAAGGCTAGAGTTGTCTCTAGATATTTCTTTGATTTCCCAGGCCTGCCTTCTCAGAACACTATCTTTTTTCAGGAGAACAGCCCCAAGGAGGACTGATCATCTCCTGTAATACTGAAAGCCATGGCCCAGGTAAGTTAGCTGAGGCTCTTTCTTATCTTCCTGACATTCAATTCTTTCTAAGAAAAACAAACAAACAAAATTTTAAGGGTATGTGAGCCCAATCTCTTACTTTGTAGGTAGCCCTTCCGTCTCTTTCCTTTCTTTGCAATTTTTGTTGTTGTTGTTAGAAAAGAAAAAAAAAATTCATTTGTCTGCTATTTGGATTTTAATGATTTCTTCTCTGGGGTATCATGTAAGTGTTTCCTGGGAATTGGTATGTAGGTCTTGATCAGATTCAGTTGGGATTTGTTTGTCAGGAATATTTCCTAGTTGGTGATGTGTGATTCCATTAGGAGGTGTATTATTTCTGGTTCTCTGTCCTTTTGTAATGTTAGCTACCAGTGAGGATTATTGTCTAGATTCATTAATTCATTAGAGGTTGCAAAATGATATTTAAATTCTGTCATTCATTTTCTATAGATTAGGTAGCATACTGTGTCTAAAACATCTCATCAACTCTTTGGTCTAAAGGACCATTTGTATGGGAAAGAATGTTTGATTCTTTCCCCTTATTTACCAGTTTTCATTTTATTATTTATTTATTTATTGGCTGTGCCTGGGTCTTCGTTGCTGCTCATGGCCTTTCTCTAGTTGTGAAGAGCAGGTGCTTCTCTTGTTGTAGAATTCAGACTCTAGAGCATGGACGGAGTAGTTAAGGTGCATGGGCTGAGTTGCTCCAAGGCACGTGGAATATTCTTGGACCAGAGGTCAAACCCAGGTCCCTTGCATTGGCAGGTGGATTTTTAACCACTAGACCACCAGGGAAGTCCTTTACCAATTTTTAAAATAATGGGTTGGTGTCTTAGAATCCTATGAAGATGACTAGTAATTTCTTATTCAATATTGTTAGGAGCTCATGGATTTAAACAGTTTTGATCTAATCAGTCCATTACATTTGATCCTCAAATTACTGTCTTTGGCCAGTGGGAGGTTTTTCAAGTTGGCTCTTGAACCCTTTTAACATGATGCCAGTAGTTTTTGATAGCTCTCTTGCTTTCTGAGAATGTTCAAACTCATCCGCTGCATTTGACTCAATTCTGAAATTGTCTCTTTGCCAACTTTTGTTCCTTTTATTTGAATACAGTGCTTAGAGATGACAGTCTAGACACTAGGGATGTTCATTGCTACTGGGTTAATTATTGTTTCTGGGCCTTTTCTATAGACTGAGTCAGGAATTTATTTATTTTTTTTAGTACGAAATAAACTGGTAACTCTTGCATCTACTTCTAGGGTCCAAGGATACTGAGTCTCAGTGATACCAGTGTAATTGCTCTTTGCTTTACCCCCAGATATAAGCACAGTAGTCTGTGAAATATTTCTTTCTGTTGCACAAATAATACATGTGTTTATTGTTTCAGGGTTCAGTGATGTTCACTGATGTGTCTATAGACTTCTCTCAAGAGGAGTGGGAATTCCTGAACCCTGATCAGAGGGACTTGTACAGAGATGTGATGTTGGAAAACTATAGCAATCTAGTGTCAATGGGTAAGAGATCTATACTGGTAATTTTGAGTTCTCCCCTGGAATGTCTGTTTCTTCTGCAGTGACTTTCTCAGCTACTTTTCACGTTACCAGCTGAATTTCTGCTCCCTGTTCTCAAATAAATGGTTTGAACTGAAATGGAAAGGAAGAGTGGGAAATGGGCAGCTCCCAGTTGGCTATGGCTGAGCCTCTTCTTTGTTTGACTGTTCCCATAGTAGCATCTCTTCCTTGATCATCAAGGGACTGGGTATTACATTTGGGTCTGATTTACCCACAGCCTAACCATGTTCCATATCTTTTCTTGTGAGCAGGACTTTACATTCCCAAACCTCAAGTTATCTCCTTATTGGAACAAGGGAAAGAGCCATGGATGATTGGCAGAGAGCTGACAAGAGGCCTGTGCTCAGGTGAGTGAGAAATGACTGGACCAAGGCAGGGCACTTTAGGTAATAACTCAGTTGATTCATGAAGAAACAGCACCCTTGAGATGTGATCTTGGAAGCTCCCACCAAAACAATAGGCCTGTGGGAAAAACTAATTTCTTTGAGCATGAGTTTACGAATGACCTGTTCCATTCCTTTCCTCGCTTACTGCGCTTCTTTCTCTAATACCCTTCTTAATTTCAAGTAGAAAATGCCCTTCATATCCCCTGCAAAGAAAACTCTTTTATCCGTACTTTTTTTGTTTCCTATTTTTGGGCTGTGCCACATGGCATGAGGAATCTTAATCCCTGACCAGGGTTCGATCCCATGCCCCCTGCCATGGAAGCGTGTTTTCTTAACCACTGGACCTCCAGGGAAGTCCCTACTTGTATTTTAAATTTTTAATTTATTTACTATTTTGGCTATGCTGGGTCTTCATTGCTGCGCGCAGGCTTTCTCTTCTTTGTAGTGCACAGGATTCCCATTGCGTGGGTTCTCTTGTTGGGAGCATGGATTCTAGGTGCATGGGCCTCAGTAGTTGCAGCTCATGGGTTCAATAGTTGCAATTCCCGGGCTCTGGAGCACAGGCTTGATGGTTATGGAGCATGGCACGGGCTTAGTTGTCCCTCAACATGTAGGATCTTCCCGGAACTGTGATTGAACGCATGTCCCCTATTTTGGCAGGTGGATTCTTAACTGCTGGACCGTCAGGGAAGTTCTTCTACCTATATTTTAGATTCAGTTCCTTGCTAGGTTTTCTTCCTCTTGGACTCAACTAAATGTTTTCTGTTACCACTCCCAAAATAGTATGCCTGTGTGTGTGTGTGCACGTTTGAGCATGTCTGCATGTACCTGCCCCAGCTCCAAGTCCTAGTCTTCATTATAGCTGCCCGCCAATGACTGATTTTTTTGTTTGTTGTGCATTTTTCCTTTATCCATTATTTTTTATTTCCTAATTTATGCAAAGGAGTCTGCCATGTGATGCATTTTTCTAATTGTGTCAACTGTTAAAAACTTGGAGTCAAAAAGTAGTGCTAAACAAATGAACCTCTCTACAAAACAGAAACGGACTCACAAGATATAGAAAACAGACTCGTGGTTGCTAAGAGGTAGGAAGGTGGGGGCGGGAAGGACTGGGAATTTGGGATTACCAGCTGTAAACCGTTAATATTACATATAGGATAGATAAACAACAAGGTCCTTCTGTATAGCACAGGGAATATAGTTCTTATCCTGTGATAAACCATAGTGGGAAAGAAAATCTACAGGAAATCTAATGGAAAGGAAACAATATATGTATATAGTTGAGTCACTTGGCTGTATAGCAGAGATCGGCTACATTGTAAATCAACTCTACTTCACAAAAAAAGAACATTAAAATTTTTAAAAAGTAGTGATAAAATATATCCATAAATACTTTCACAAAGTAGTGCCTGGTAGAAGAATCAGATGGTCGGGAGCTTAGCAGAAAGTCAGGAGCTAAATATTCAGAAATGGATTTAATCTATACCGAAATAGCAGTTGGAGCCTTGCAAGTGATTACAGTCACTGTCTAAAGAGACGATGCTGGGAAAAACAAAAAGGTTTTTGCCTAAATTGGGAATGAACGGGGCAGAGAAGAAGAGATTTGGTATAAAGTAGATGAACCAAAAGAATACTTACAGAACAGTACTATATACTAAGCTTTGGTTCAGATGCTGTGATTATAATATTGAACAAAGCATTTAAAATTCTGCTGTCCTGGAGCTTATATTCTAGGGGATGCAAGAGAAAAAGTATATATCATATATATATATATATATGTCAGATGATAAATGCTATGAAGGAAGGTAGAGAAGGCCTTTTTAGAATTATTGTTATTTCTCTTTAATAAATCTCTTTCTTACTTTCATGTGTTTATTTGGCTGTGCTGGGTCTTAGTTGCAGTACATGGGATCTTCGATCTTTGTTGTGGCATCTTCTGGTTGTGGTGTGGAAACTCTTAGTTGCAGCATGTGGGATCTAGTTCCCTGATTGGGCCCCCTGCATTGGGAGCATAGAGTCTTAGCCACAGAACCACCAGGAAAGTCCTGAAAGGTCCTTCTGATGAGGAAGGAAGTGAGGGAACAAATAATGTAGATGTCTGGTAGAAGAGATTCAGGCAAAAGTCAGGAAGAACGAAGTTCCTGAGTTAGGAGCTTTTTGGCTCCTGTCTTTGTGATTGGAACAGAATGTGCCAAGAGGGAATTATGTGAAAGGAGATCAGCAAGGTAGCAGGATGCATGAATGTTTATGTGCTTGGTGCTAGTGGGAGGGAGGGTGTATCTGCGGATAACTTGAGGTCTTATAGGCCTTGGTATGGGCTTTGAATTCTATTTTGTGCTCAGTCGTTCAGTCACGTCTGACTCTTTGCAACACTCTCGACTGCCTGCCAGGCTCCTCTGAGAAGTAAAGCCATTCCATTCTGAGTGAGGTGATTTGAACAGGGGAGTGACTTCATGTTTTTAAAGGATCCCTCTAACTCAGTGGTTGATAATTTTGGATTCCTTTGGATAGAATTGAGAGAACTCATGAACTTGGATGAAAAGAAAAAAAAAATGCATCTTTACATCTAGTAATCTGTAATTGAAATTTAGCATGTCTTCCTATTATTATGTATGCAGCAAACCATGATAGTGTTAGTAGTTTCTGTGACTTTGACATGAATGGAAATCACAGATATTTTCATATCATTTTACTGTTATTGTAGACATACTGAAATATTATTTGTGATCATCACTATTTCAGAATTACAGGCTCACTGCTAGGACTTACTGTTTAATTTTACTTATTTATTTATGGCTGTGCTGGGTCTTCATTGCTGCTTTCTTTAGTTGTGGTGAGTGGGGGCCACTTGCTAACTGTGGTGAGCAGGATTCTCTTTGTGATGGTTTCTCTTGTTACAGAGCATGAGTTTTAGGATGCACCAGCTTCAGTAGCTGTGGCACACAGGCTTAGTTGCTCCTTGGCTTTTGGGATCTTCCCAGACCAGGGATAGAACCCTTGTTCCTTGCATTGGCAGGCAGATTCTTAACCACTAGACCACCAGGGAAGTCTGGTCTTAGATATATTCATAGAGAAGAAAACTCCAGGCAAAGGGGAGAACCGCTGTGCAGGCCCTTCTGAGAGGGGAAGAAGGGTTGGTGTGTTTGAAGATTGGAAAGAAGTCAGTGTTGTCGCCTCCAGGAGCAAGCAAAAGCAGAGCGTGAGTTGAGATTGGAGCGACAAGTAGGAACTACATTATTCAGTCTTTGCTGGATTTTGAGCAGTGGAAGGCTGGGCCAAATGTCACTGGTGCTTGAATAGGTTAGAGAGTATGAGAACTTGGTGGGGATCTGAGTTAGGAGTCTACTTGAGTGGTCTGAGTTAGAGACTACTCTGAGTTAAACTCTTTCTGGTCTGAAAGAGGGCATTGGCAGTGGCGATAAAAAATTACTGAGGAGGTTAACTGGATGAAAGTTGCTGAAAGATCCTATGAAGGTAGGAGGAAAAGAATATACTGAAATGAATTCCCTGTTTCTGGCTTGAGATATTCTAATCAAGTCTATTTTGATGTCTTCAAACTGTTCAATTTGCCTAAAATACCCATCAGCTGTCATAAAGTGTTCACACTTTATTCAACAACATTTACTATACTTTTCCTCATCCTCGTAGTAATCACAAATTAAGGATTAGCTCCTTTTTACAGATGAAGAAATGGGGACTAGAAAGGTTAAATAATTGCCTTGGAACCTGTTGTGAGTAACTGTCAGTTTTGGGACTCAGCTCTCATTAGTCTGCTTCTGACTCCTATCATCCTTCCATGGCAGTATCTTTCATTGTGTCTTATTATTATTTATAATCCTCATGTGAAACTCTTGAGAATTTTTTTTAAATTGAAGTATAGGTGATTTACAATGTTGTGCTTCTGGTATACAGCAAAGTGATTCAGTTATACATATATGTATGTATATATACACATTTTTTTCAGATTCATTTTCATTATGGTTTATTGTAAGATATTAAATATAGTTCCCTGTGCTATATGGTGGGAACTTGTTTATTTTATATATAATAGTGTGTATCTGCTATTCCCAAAATCCTAATTTATCTCTCTGACTTTTTCCACTTTGACTTTTCCCCTTTGGTAACCATAAGTTTGTTTTCTAGATCTATGAGTCTTTGTGTTTTGTAAATAAGTTCATTTGTATAATTTATTTTTAGATTCCACATACAAGTGATATCATACAGTATTTGTCTTTCTTTGTGTGATTTTCTTAGTATGATAATCTCTGGTCTATCCATGTTGTTGCAGATGGCATCGTTTCTTTTTATGGTTGAGTAATATTCCAGTGTGTGTGGGTGTGTATGTGTGTATATCACCTTTATCCATTCATCTGTCTGTGGCTGTTTAGGTTGCTTCCATGTCTTGGCTGTTGTAAATAGTACTGCTGTGAACATTGGGTTGTATGTATCTTTTTGAATTATAGTTTTCATCTTTTCTTAATATATGTTTAGGAGTGAGATTGTTAGATCATATGGTATTAATAACTCTATTTTTAGTTCTTTAAGGAACTACCATACTATTCTCCATAGCGACAGCACCAATTTATATTCCCACCAATAGTGTATAAGGATTTTTTTTTTCCACACCCTCTCTAGGATTTATTATTTGTAAATTTTTGGATGATTGCCATTCTGACAGGTGTGAGGTGGTATCTTATTGTGGTTTTGATTTGCATTTCCCTGGTGATTAGGTTGAGCACCTTTTCATATATCTATTGGCCATCTGAATGTCTTTGGAGAAATATCTATTTAGATTTGCCCATTGTTTGACTGGTTTTGTTGTTTGTTTGATATTGAGCTGTATGAACTATTTGTATATTTTAGAAATTAAGCCATTTTCAGTTGTATCATTTGCAAATATTTTCTCCTATTCTGTAGGTTGTCTTTTCATTTTGTTTATTGTTTGTTGTGCTGTTGCACTGTGTCTTTTTTCTCTCTGTATGCCTTAAACTTCAGTGGCCTCCCCTCCCAGTCACTGAGGTGGTATTAGTACATGAGCAAATTTCTCTCTTGTCCCAGGATCAGCATCACAAAATTCTAAGGCAAACAGTATTTTCACTGAATCTCCAGCACATAACATATTCTGAGTCTTCCCTATCTGCTACTCACATCAAATTAGTTCAGTACCTTAGACTTTGGGCTTCCCCAGTCCACAGTGGTAAAGAATCCACTTGCCAATGCCGGTGTATTCAGGAGACACAGGTTAGATCTCTGGGTCATGAAGATCCCCTGGATGAGGGAATGGCAACCCACTCCAGCATTCTTGCCTGGGATATCCCATGGACAGAGGAGCCTGGTGGGCTACAGCCCATGGGATCAAAAAGAGTTGGACACATCTGAATGACTGAGCATACATTCACTTTAGACTTATCTCAGGCTAGCCCCCATGTGGCTAACTCTCTGATCACTTTCAATATGTCCTCACATCCAATATGTCCTTTATTATGGACCCTATTCTTCTTTATCCCCAGCTGGGTGAACTGCAGTTTACTTCTGACTCCCAACAACCCAGAGTCAGCCTAAACCCCACAGGTTAACAGCCAGCCTTCCACAAGACTGCTCTCACTCCTGACCCCAGCTGTGAGTCCCACCCAAACTTCTGACCGACTGACTATAAATTCAGGTATTTCCATGCCCCCCTGCAGGCTCAATAATTTGGTAAAACAATTCAGAAGACTGAGGGAAGTGCTATACTTATAATTGAATTTTACTATAAAGGATATCAGATGAGCTGGTAGGCTTTGGATGCAGAGGTTCCACACCCTCTCCCTGTGAAGCACCAACCAGAAAACTCCACTGAACTTTGGTATTGAGTTTTTATTGGAGCTTAATTACATAATTATATTTAAGCATAATTAATTGGCATAATTGATTAGGGCATCAGCCACTCAATCTCTGGCCTCCCTCTCTTTCCCAGGGGTCAAGTAGCTGAAAATCCCAGCCCTCTCATCATATGTTGGGTCTTTCTAGTGAACAGTCCCCATCCTAAATCTGGGGACCCACCATGAGTCACCTCATTAGCACAGTGAAAACACTGCTATCTCTCAGTAAATTCAAAGGATTTTTGAAGCTCTTTGTTATGAACTAGGGACAAAAATCAAATTTATACTTTATTATACCAGAGAGCCCAAGAATCTTTCCCTGTATACTTTTATTCCTCTTAGGAGACCTTTAATGGATGTAAAAAAAAAAAATAGCTACTTTGTATAATACATATAGTATGATGATATACTTTGTTTCTTACATATACATATAAGCTCATATAGATGTATATACTACTAGTCATCTTTTATGCCGAAGTATTGTATATTTATCAACTTTTCCAAATGACTCTGGTCCACATCAATATTTGAGAATCATTGTGGTTTTCTATTTCCATAGATTCCGCTTCCTGCTTTACATCTCATTAATTTTTGTGTATTTCTTGTCCATTTTTCAGATGCAACGGATATACTTGAGAATTCTATGTCATTTACTACCACATAATTGTTTTTACTTTAATTTTTCCATTTCTCTTATAGAAGTTTACCTTTTCACAAATGAGGTGGGAGAAGAATATTTACCTTATATTTTCTTTCAGCTCTGGAATCAATGTGTGAAACCAAGTTATTATCATTAAAGAAGGAAGTTTATGAAATAGAATCATGCCAGAGGGAAATGATGGGACTTAGAAAACAAGGCTTTGAATATTCCAGTTTCAGAGATGTTTTGGAATATAGAAGTCACTTTGAAAAACAACTGGGATATCAAAATGGGCATTTCAGCCAAGAAATACTCACTCATGAGTACATGCCCACATTTATTCAACAGACATTCTTTACTTTACATCAAATTAACAATGAAGAGAAACCCTATGAATGTAAGAAATGTGGAAAGGTCTTTAGTCAGAATTCACAATTTCTTCAACATCAGAGAATTCATATTGGCGAAAAATCTTATGAATGTAAAGAGTGTGGGAAATTCTTTAGCTGTGGCTCACATGTTACTCGACATCTGAAAATTCATACAGGTGAAAAACCCTTTGAATGTAAAGAATGTGGAAAGGCCTTCAGCTGTAGCTCATACCTTTCTCAGCATCAGAGAATTCATACGGGTAAGAAACCCTATGAATGTAAGGAATGTGGGAAGGCCTTTAGTTATTGCTCAAATCTTATTGACCATCAGAGAATTCACACTGGTGAAAAACCCTATGAATGTAAAGTTTGTGGAAAAGCCTTTACTAAGAGCTCACAACTTTTTCAGCATGTGAGAATTCATACAGGTGAGAAACCCTATGAATGCAAGGAATGTGGCAAAGCTTTTACTCAGAGCTCAAAGCTTGTACAACATCAGAGAATTCATACAGGTGAGAAACCGTATGAGTGCAAAGAATGTGGCAAGGCCTTTAGTAGTGGCTCAGCACTTACTAATCATCAGAGAATTCACACAGGAGAGAAACCCTATGATTGTAAGGAATGTGGGAAGGCTTTTACTCAGAGCTCACAACTTCGTCAACATCAGAGAATTCATGCTGGTGAGAAACCTTTTGAATGTCTTGAATGTGGGAAGGCCTTTACTCAGAACTCACAGCTTTTTCAACATCAAAGAATTCATACAGATGAAAAACCATATGAATGTAATGAATGTGGAAAGGCCTTTAATAAATGCTCCAACCTTACCCGACATCTCAGAATTCATACTGGTGAAAAGCCCTATAACTGTAAGGAATGTGGAAAGGCATTTAGTAGTGGCTCAGATCTCATTCGTCATCAGGGAATTCATACTGATGAATAATAAAAGTTAAAGCTCTTCTCACCTTCCTGATCTTTTAAACAAAGAGAAAATTAAGGTTTGATAGTTATCCTCTTTCACTATTTTTTGTTTATTTTATAGAAAATAAATACATTTAAAAAATATATTTCTTAAAATATATAAAAAATATGTTTCTTAAAATATATTTAATCCAAATATATTTTACTCTAAGTTAGGAATTTGGATTCTAAATTGATATTTGCTTGTCTCCACCCCTCTCCTCCCCCACTCCATCTTGTATTAATGTCACTTCAACAGTTTTATCCTTTCCTACTGTTTCGTTCTACCTTCTTGGTGATATATTATATTATTGTTTATATTTGCTTGAATCTCAAGGCTATTCTCTGATCTATATGTTTGTGCTTACACCAGTATCACACTGTTTAAACTGTGTGACTTTGTATTTTTTAATTCCTTGTAGAATTAATTATAATCTTGTTCTTGAAGTAAGTTTTAATCCTTTTGTTTCATTTCAGATTTATATTTTCTTACTAGAAAACAATATCAGAAAACTAGAACCTAAAAAAGCCAGCATTAATTGTAATCATGCCATCTATATATAGATAATGACTCTCAATTGGTAGAGCAAATCCTACCAGACTTTGCTTTTAAAGAAAATGTAGTCATGGTACACATGTTGTACCTTTACCTGCTTTTATAATATAGTCAAAAATATGATTGCTATTTCAGTATATAGAGATTTTTATTATTTTTATTGATATATTTAATGACATGTTTAAATGACCTTATTATTCATGTTATGGTTGCATCTAATTGTTTTTGGTTATAAAATCTTCCTTTATTAATATGACCCAAAGTTTATCTTTGGATGTTTTGGCTTTTTCCATTTAAAACATCTACTTTAGTTGGTGAAATTATCTACATTTTGTCCTTGTAAACTGTCTTATTCCTTTCACCAAGCCTAACCCCAGTCTCATATGAGAAAGGTAATTAACCACCATTATCAATATTATTTATCTTTCCAGATTTTTTTAACTTTTTACTTATATATGTTAGTGACATTTTCTTTTTTATGTATTAATAAATATAATCATGCTGTATGTGTTGGTTTGTTGTGATGATTCGATGAATTAATAAATATTCAGAACTTTTCCTATCATGTGGCAAATATCTAGTAAAAGTTGTTCATTATCATTATTATTATTTTTATACTCATTTTCATAATTACCATTATTATTTGTGGAGGGCTTTCCTGGTGGATCAGGATAAAGAATCCGCCTGCCAATGCAGGAGACTCAGGTTCAATCCATGGGTCAGGAAGATCCCCTGGAGAAGGAAATGGCAACCCATTCCATTATTCTTGCCTGGAGAATCCCATGGATTCTCTGGAATCCCAGAGGAGCCTGGCAGGGAAGGAAATGGCAACCCATTCCATTATTCTTGCCTGGAGAATCCCATGGATTCTCTGGAATCCCAGAGGAGCCTGGCAGGCTACAGTCCATAGGATCACAAAGAGTTGGAAAAAACTGAGTGACTTAAACAACAATTATTTGTGGAAAGGATTTTAACCATGTTGTTTACCTTTATCTAAGTCAAGGAATTCATAATGAAAAAAGACAAATGAGAGACTTCCCTGATTGTCTAGTGGATAAGACTTCGTGCTCCCAATGCAGGAGGTCTGGGTTTGATCCCTGGTTGGGGAACTAGATCCCACATGCTGCATCTAAGAGTTCCCACACTGCAACTAAAGATCTCACAGGATGCAATGAAGACCTGGTACAGCCAAATAAACAGATTTTTTTTTAAAAAGAGAGAGAGAAATGAGTGTAATGAACATAAGAAAGTTTATCCTATCCCCATTATTTGGCTTGAAATTTTAAAAGGGAAAAAAAGTTTTTGTGGGTAGTCCACATTCAGACTTCATTTTTATACTGCACAAAGATTAATACCTATTTGAAACCCTATGGATATAATGATGGGTTGGTGAAAGTGTAACTGTCAAATAAGTAGGAAGAGATAAGGATATTTTTCCTAATTATTCCCCCAAAAGTAGAAAATATACAGGGCACATTATTTGACCAGAATGAGCGACACAGTAACAAAATGATAGCCAACAAATATAAATGTCTGAATATTAATTTAGTAACCCTCTTGATTAACATGGGTTAAGGAGCTAAATCCTTAGAATACACATTATTTAAATGTGAATGAATATAAGAATACAATTGAAAAACCTGTGAGTGGCAGGCAAAATTGTATTGGAAGTTTTATAACTCAGTATGCATGCATACATTAAAGTACTAGAAAGACCATTAAAATGAATACAGAACCCAAAGAGCTAAAACAAGCAAAAGTATATCTAAAATATGGGCAGAGAAAGGCATTGTTAGTTATCAAATAAGTGACAAAAGTAAACTATTTAAAATAGAAAATGTATCTGATTGAAAGTAGACAAACCAGGTCAGGCAGTATAAGTGACAGCTGAACAGTGCCATGAATGAGAAACGGAAATGACTCTCAGTAAAGGATCTGTCTACATTGCGGGAGACCCAGGTTCGATTCCTGGGTCGGGAAGATCCCCTGGAGAAGGGAATGGCAACTCCAGTATTCTTGCCTGAAGAATCCCATGGACAGAGGAGCATGGTAGGCTACAGTCCATGGGTTCGCAAAAGAATTGGACACAACTGAGTGACTAATGTTTTCATACTTACTACCTATTTAAATGTAAAAGGAAAAAAAATAAATGTAAAAGGACAGTATCTTTTTGGGTGATTAAAATATTCTGGGATTGGCAGTGTATATACTAAAAACCACTCTATACTTTAAAAGGGTAAATATATACAGTATATGAATTTTATCTCAAACTTAAAAGTACTATAGATGTTTTTTAGAATATATCCAAAAATCTGGACAAAGTGTATGATTTTTAGAAAGAAATTGGATTGACTTGATATCAGAATTGACTAGAGAAGTATAAAATCTTTAATAGATTCTCTCCAAAAGGAACATTTTTTAAACCAAAAAAATAAATGCCAGGGGAATTCCATGGCAATCCAGTGGTTAGGACTCCACGCTGCCACTGCTGGGAGTCCAGGCTTGATCCCTGATGAGGGAACTAAGATCCTGAAAACCATGAGGTGAAGTAAAAAATTAAACAAATAAATGTCAGCTACACCAAAGACATATATATATTTACAGATGAAACTGTGAAATGTGTTAGGAACTCTTCCAGGACACAAACTGAGGTAGCAAGTTATCTGATTTTATGAATCTGTCACAACCCTAATGATAAAACTTGCTGGAAGTACATAAAAAGATAATATGCATAACTGAAAATATGCAACGTTAAAAATTAGCAAGCTAAATCTAATAATCTATTGAAAGGAAATAAATACTTGTCACAATCTGAATTTTGGAACAAAACTTTTCTAAAAAATCTTTATTTAAACTTGCTACTCACTTTTTGAAACTTGGAAATCAAATCAATTTAGTTAATACAGTGTTCCTTAGTATTTGAACTTGGAAACCAAATAGACTTGGATAGCAAGGGGTTCTTGGAATACAACACAAGACAATTCACATGGAATTTCTAGAATCTAAATAACTAAAATATTATAAGTGAAAATATATTATCAATCTTCAATGTCTTCTAGTTGCACCTTTCTTATCTGTATTTGACAGAATGGGATATGTTTTATAAATAAACAAGAGTTATCTGACCTGCTGGAATATCACTGTGTTCATTCATTTATACCCTGTCTACTTCTCATTTGAAGAGTCTTTAAAACAGCTAATGAATCTAATCATTGACACATATTTAGCATGAGGATGTAGTGGGAGTGGGAAAGAAGTTGTTAAAACAATCACAGAATTTCAACTCTCATTGCAGTTTGAATGTATGGTATGAAAGGTGTTCACGCCCTTGATAGCAAGAAAACCAGGGCAAGATAAAATCATACTTAGGAATAAGTTTAGTAAAAGATATGAAAGATCTTTATATGGGAAACTGCAAAACATTGCCAAGGGAAGTTAGTCAAGGTTTTTTTTCTTTTTTTCCCCCACTGCATAACTTGTGAGATCTCAGTTCCCCAATCAGGGATTGAACCTGGGCCCTGGCAATGAAAGTGCAGAGTCCTAACTACTGGATCACCAGAGAATTCCCTAGAAAAGATCTAAATTGATGGCAATACAATGGCTATGAATTGGAAAATTCAATGTCTTTAATAAAATTTCCCCAAATTTACCTATAGATTCAATGCTCTCCTAGTCAAAATATCAGAATGTTTTTTTACATTTTAAATTGATAAAAGCATTCTAAAATTTATAGAGAAATCCAAAGACCTAGAACAATCAAAATCGGTATTGAAAAAGAACAAATTGGAGAACTTCTGATTTCAAGACTTGCTATAGAGCTATGATAAACCAATAAAGACTGTAGTATTTGTCTAAGGATAGACAAATAGGTCAGTGGAGTAGAATAAAAAGTACAGAAATACACCACAACGGACCCCGGAGTTCAACCTGTATATTCTAGCATGTCACAAAGTAATTTGACCATGAAACATTTTCCCTCCTACTTGTCATTAATGTTTGCTAAAATATATCAGCAAGAAGTTAAGTGTAAGAGATTATTGTAGGTAGTTAAAGTATTGGGGGTTAGGAGTTTTGCATGTCTGTAATATTGTATCCTGTAGAAAGTCTCTAACTTAGTCCTGCTCTTTTCACTGAGACAAATCCTTAGTCTGAGTTAGTCTCAGTTAGCCCTAATACTCTAATTGTGCAGAGTGAGTTAGTTAGTTCAGTTGCTCAGTCATGTCCGACTCTTGGCAACCCCGTGAATCGCAGCATGCCAGGCCTCCCTGTCCATCACCAACTCCCGGAGTCTACCCAAACCTATGCCCATCGAGTCGGTGATGCCATCCAGCCATCTCATCCTCTGTCGTCCCCTTCTCCTCCTGCCCCCAATCCGTCCCA